AATGCAGTATTTGAAAGTGGCGCCCGAATTGCAGCATGGCGCCAGTTGTCCAAAATCCTACGGTACCAAAGGAGGGGTTTGGAAAAAGGGTGCCACGCCGAAAACGGGATGCAGTCGAAACAGCAAAAGATAGACCAGGGATCGAGCCCTGGCGAAGTCCGTAACAGGAAGCTACCAGCTGATGTTACCCGCCCACCGTCCACGAAGGATGAAGTCCTTTGCCAGCTGCTATTTGACAACGTGGCAATTAAAAACCAGGAGGGAGCTCCATTTGTAGCAAACGGAGCTCCAGGCACGTTCGGGCAAGCCTGGGTAAGGCGAGGGATTGTAAGGATTGAGGATTTGTGGTGCCCGGTGCTCGGCAGCTGGAGACCTATCAATGCAGTAAAGGAAGTGCTAAAAGGACTGCAACGGGTTGAGGAGCACTGGTACCAGATTACTGGAGCAATTCCTCAGGAGTGGCTGGATCGTCTTGGCCCAGAGGGTACAGACCCTCCCGGGACATGGTACAGGTCTGAGTCGGAGGCTCAAGGTGATGTGCTGTGGAAGGTACTAGAAATCCTCCCAAGCGGTTTCCGAAGGGTGGAAAGGTGGAGATGCATAGATCACTCAAATTCGCTCGCGTTCATCCAGGAGGAGACCAAGATGGTCTGGGATAGCCCAGCCCAGGTGAGAGTGGTGGAAAGGCAGTGCAAAGGAGCAGACCCAAGAAACCTGGTCTGGATTGGGAGAGAACCGCTCAGACAGCTCTGCACCGACCCCCAAGCCTGGAGCTGGCGATCCAAGAATGCTGACACCCCACATCTTAGCATGTTGGAGTACTCAACGGCTGCGGGTTACTTGCTGGCGGCCGAGCCACTGAAGACACCTGCACAGATTGCAACAGCCCGCTGGCAGGCGGTATGCAGCCTGGACCTGACAGAGGCGGAGCGTAACTTTGAACAGCTTTGGGAAATCCTAACCTGTCTCCCTAACGGTAGACAAGTTAGCATTCTCTGGATGCTGTCCATACTAGTAATCCCCTCATCAGTTTGGCTACTGAGTAGGGGAATACAGGTTGAGCTGGGTTGTTCGAGGTGCAGGTGGCCTTTCGAGTCCACCAGGCACCTGTGATGGGAATGCCCAGCGTCCAAGAGAGTGTGGAACTGGTGGGCGCACCACTGGAGAGAGTTCGGAGGCGCGGAGATGCAATGGGATGAGAGGTGGGTACTACTGGGTTTCCTACCCACCGGACTGGAAGGCAATCGGGGATGGGGATACGTGGCCCATGCGTGTAGAGGACTATTATGCGAGGTGATATGGACAGACAGAAACAGGGCGAGGTTTCAGAAAAGACCCCTGTCGGACTTGGAAATCAAGAGGAGCATCAAAAGTGGTCTGAAACAGGCAATCCAAGTGGACTGGAGAAAGAAGGTCAAGGCAGGGCAGGGTAACAGGCGCCAACTGAACTGGTTCCTCCGTTCGTGGGGTAAGAACAACAGATTAGCAGCTGTCCACTCAGAAAGAGGGCTGGTTCTGTCGCCCTGGCTCCAAGAGAACGGTTAAGGAAGCCGGGCTCAGACAGGTTACCAAGCAAGGTTAGGGAGACACTGATATTGTCCACGAGGTATTGGGTAGGCAGAGTTTTCGGGCCAGGACACTCGGCCCCTACAAGGCCCCCGTAGGCCATTAGGGGAGTGTCTATAGGATTCGGACGCTGTCCTCTGGGCCGTGGTAGTCCCAGATGTAGGTTGAAGTTCAGATTGCAATGGTTGGCACATGCTCAGTTTGGAAGAAATAGTACGCTCCAGGTTTGAATTAGAAGAGCGAGTGGACGCTAATATATCATTCATCCGTGCAAGAAGTTTCTTTCTGTTCAGGATACCACTCAGTATAGCTCGAGTTTAGATAAGTAGTGCACGTCTCAGGCAATGCCTGTAAGCTAAGCTGGCTGATGCTGTCAGATACTCTCTGGGTGGAATTGTGAGGTCCCCGGCCTCAATTTGATATCGAGTAATGTAATTGAAGGATTAAAAAAAATAATAATAATAAAAAATTGAGCTTTGCAGTTCAATTCAGAACCTCAGAGTCTTCAGACTGGCAGCACTGTCAGTGCTCTCTCTCTCTCTCTCTCTCTCTCTCTCTCTCTCT